TCTCTTTTTTTTTTTATTCTGGGCCAGCTTTAGCTCTGAGGCCTCGCTGCTGAAAACATCGATACAATGTTGCGGTCCGAGCCCGGCTGAATGGAAGCCCTTTTCTGGGGTTTTGTTTAGCTTCTTATTTGCAACATAGTATATAGTTGCTTAGACTTGCAGATGAGAGGCTGGCAAGTGAGGCGGGGAACGTTGGAGTCTGCAGCAAGCAAGCCTCGTGCTCGCTTCCGTGCCTGGCTGCCGGCCGCCATCTTGGCTGACAGTTAATTTGCATATACTCACTGATTAGCCAATGAAAAGGGTAGCGGTCGTACGCTAATTACCATGTTTCTCTTTTATTAGTGTAGATTATGCTTTGGTTGGTTGAACGACTGACCAGTTGACCAGACACTTAGTATATTAGCCTTTTATATATGTTTTTATGGTTTTGCAAACCAAATTCACCCCAGTAAATTAAGTTAACCCCCCCCATATAAATATATAAATAATAAAGAGCAAAAATACATGAAATAGTAAACAAAAACTAGAATATCAAGAAAATTAAAAATTGGGGTACTGAGGTGGGGGGTTAGCATAATAATAGTGACAAACTTCTGGCAAAAAGAGAGAACATGAATATATTAGGGAAAAAAGTGAATATTGAAGATGCTGCAGAGATAAGGTAGGTTGTGGGGAACATACTTAGAAATATAAATTGATGAAACCTCTTAGGGGGGTAATGAGACAATATAGAAATCAAAATGAAAAATTACACATAACTTTTGATATAGAAATCCCATCTCTTAAAGTTTCATCTCATATACAGGGGCAGGCAAAAGTCGGTTAATAATGATAATAAACAAACAAGCAAACAAACAAGAATAAACTTTCATGTATTGCCAACTGTATATCTACTTTTGGCCACCCTTGTATGTGCACAGAAATGTATGGGTAAGGCCGAATGTGGTCTGTCTGTATCAAAATATCTTATTGTAGTGTACTGAGCTTTTCACTTAAAGGAATCACTTTGTGGCTTCTCTTGCGTATATTCAAATTGTCAGCATCACTACTCTTTCACTTTGGGGCTATTATTAAGTAAAATAAAGATTACTTGAACACAAGCACTGTCATACAATGACAGTCAATCTTACATAGCTGGAGAAAAATGTATCAAATGAATTTGAGCCACTATAAACTAGAGATTTTAAATCTTAGTTGGGCCCTCATTTCCTCTAGTCTATATGTTTTAATGGTCTTTGTTTAACTCCCTATCACATTTTATTTATTTTTTATATTTTGTTTTATTGCTTAAAGTATTACAAAGAGTATTACATATGTCTCCTTCCCCCCCCCCACTTGACATTCCCCCGGCCTTCCCTAATCCCCAGTGTCTTGTGTCCATTGGTTATGCTTATATGCATGCATACAAGTCCTATGTATGTAGCCAGTTTGGTATTGCTAGTTGGTTGAGTGTTTTTCCATACACCAGGAAGTCTCCAGTTTGATTCCAGGTCAGGGCACATGCCTGCATTGTGGGCTCAATTCTTGGTAGGGGGCATAAAGGAGGCAGCTGATCAATTTCTCTCTCTTTCTCCATTTCCCTTCCTCTCTCTCAAATCAATAAAAACATATTTGAAAAAAAGAGCATGTATGTAACACAATTAAGAAAGTGCCTGACACTCAGCAGGTGCTCAATAAATGATAGCTATTAATAAGTACTCACATTCATCAGGTGACTATATTTACTATGTTTTCCTGAAGTTCTGTTTCATTAAAAAACAAATGCTTGCCCTGACTGCGTTGGCTTGTTTGGTTAGAATGTTGTACTGCACACTGAAAGGTCTCGGGTTCGATTCTCTGTTAGGATACATACCCAGGTTGTGTGTTCCAACCCTGGTTGGTGTGTGTGCAGGAGGCAACAGATTGATGTTTCCCTCTCCCTCTCCCTCTCCCTCTCCCTCTCCCTCTCCCTTCTTTTGATGAACAAACTGGCTGAACTACCTTAGTTGGAACTCCTAGCCACCACCACACTTCCACCTATAAACATTACTTGTTACCCTGTTCTTTCTGCAAAGTAATAATCCTACTCACTTTTTCTGTAAACACAATTTAATTTATGTTATAACTTAATTTTTCTGTTAATACCTTCAGGTATGTAATCAGAATATAGCAGGAATTGGAATGACAGAAAAATTTGCTATAAAACTAGATATTTTTTCTTTTTTCTTAAAGCTATTTTAGTTGTGATAAAATTTTAGTATTTTTCAAATTGGTAGTGTCTAGCTCTAGCCCATGAGGAGCTATAATCTTTATAAAAATTTTTCTATATTTGAGAGTAGTACAGATGTCTCCCCCTTTGCCCTGCATAGTCCCCCTCCACCTGGATCTTGCCCCACCCCAGGCCTTCACTACCCTATTATCTGTGTCCATGTGTAATGCATGTATGCATATAAATTCTTTGGTTAATTTCTTCTCTCCCCCATCTCCCCTCTTCCCTCTGTGATTTGTCAGTCTGTTCATGTTTCCATGACTCTGGTTCTATTTTACACATCAGTTTATTTTTTTCATTAGATTCCTTTTCATTTATTTTGATTTTTACATTCAATTGTTGATAGATATGTATTTGCCATTTTATTGTTCATATTTTCTTCTCCTCCTCCTCCTCTTTTTTCTTCTTTCTTCTTTTTGTGGTGATGAACTCCTTTAGCTTTTTTCTGGTGTGTGAAGTTCTTTATCTGACCATCAATTCTGAATGATAGCTTTGCTGGGTAGAGTAATCTTGGTTGTAGGTCCTCACTTTTCATCACTTTGAATATTTCTTGCCGCTCTCTTCTGGCCTGCAAAGTTTCTGTTGAGAGATCAGCGAAATCAGCTGACAATCATTTGGGGGCTCCCTTGTAGGTAACTAACTGCTTTTTTCTTGCTGCTTTTAAGATTCTCTTTTTGTCTTTAAACTTTGGTATTTTAATTATGATTTGTCTTGGTGTGGGCTTCTTTGGATTCCTGTTCTTTGGGATCTCTGTGCTTCCTGGACTTGTATGTCTATTTTCTTTCAGCAGTTAAGGGAAGATTTCTGTCATTTTTTTCAAATACGTTTTTAATTTCTTGCCCTCTCTTCTCCTGCTGGTATCCTCATGAAGTGAATGTTGGTATGCTTGAAGTTATCCCAGAGGCTCCTTACACTATCTTCATATTTCATCTTGTTGCTCTTCTGATTGGGTGTTTTTTGCTTCCTCATATTCCAAATCACTGATTTGATTCTTGGCATCCTCTACTCCATGATTGATTCCCTGTAAATTATTCTTCATTTCAGTTAGTGTATCCTTCATTTCTGACTGGTCCTTTTTTATGTTATCTGTGTTCCCACTAATTTTGAAGTTCTCATTAAGTTTCTTGAGCATCCTTATAACCATGTTTTTTAAACTCTGTATCTGGTAGCTGTTTGCTTCCATTTCATTTAGTTCTTTTTCTGGAGATTTCTTCTGTTCTTTCATTGCGACATTTCTTTGTCTGCATTTTGGCTACTTTCCTGTGTGTGTTTCTATGTATTAGGTATAGCTGCTGTATCTCCTGGAATTGGTAGAGTGGCCTTATGTAGTAGGTGTCCTGTAGGACCCAGTGGCTCAGCCTCCCCAGTTACCTGAGCTGATCACTGTAGGGGCACCCCTGTGAGGTCTGTGTGCACTGTTCTATTGTACATGAGCCTTGATTGCTGTTGGAGTCACTGGGAGGGATTGACCCCCCCCCCCAGGCCAATCAGCTGTGTGGATCAGCTGAGACTGCAGTGGAAGGGCTGCTGTGCCAGAGTTGCCCCTGTGGAGCAGGGCTTGCTTCAGTGGGGCTTTGGTGCTCACCAAATCTGCCCCTTGAGTGTGTCCCTCTTGTGGACGTGGTAGAGTTGTAACCTGTCATGGTCTGAAGCTGACCTTTGGGTGCACTGTCTCTGAAGCCTCTCAGGAGGTACAAAGTCAGCCACTGCCTGTGCCCTGCCTGGGGCCACCCGGCAGGAGCTGCAGAGCAATCTTCAGATGGCTAGTACTTGTGTTGGGCTTGGAGGTGCCCAGGAGAGCCCAAGCTGTGAACCAAGGCAGGCTGCTGCTAGTGCTGGGCTGGAGGACCTTTTATCATGAGGTATGGGACATGCTGAGGCCAGCTGCTGCTTCTTTGAGAGATACTAGGAAAGTCTAATGCCTGAGCTAGGAGAAGCCATTCATATGGAAAAGCCACTGCATACAGCTTGGGTGGGGCTGCAAATTTGGTGGGGTGGGGTCAGGGAGTCACTAGGGCAAGGTGAACAGTGTGGGTCAGGTTGATGGAGACTCAGATATGGTGACTGCCTGTTGGCACTATTGCAGGGAGATCTCAGTAAAGGAACAGTGACCTCTGACAGCACTCTTGTCTTGGAGAAAGCTGCCCCCAGTTCTTGCCCTGATGCCAGATAATTTAGTTCCTCCCTTTATATTTCTGGATCCTTTCAAGTTGCTGCCCCAGTGTTGGAGCTCAGGAGTGAGTCCAAGGAAGTCTGTGCCAGGCCTTGGAGAGGAACTGCCTGGGACTCCAGCAGCCTCTGAGTCACTCAGCCACAATCCCCACTGATTTTTACAGCTCATAGTTATGGGGACTTCTCGTTCTCATACTGGTACCTTGGGCTGAGGGCTCTTGGGTGGGCTGGGATCCCTTGCTCCTCACAGCAGACCTCCATAGTCAAGATATCCCTCCCAATTAAAAAAACGCCATATGTGGATGTCAGACTAGTACAGTGGTCGGCAAACTGCGGCTCGCGAGCTGCATGTGGCTCTTTGGCCCCTTGAGTGTGGCTCTTCGACAAAATACCGACTTCTGCGCATGGGTCACGAAGTTTCAATCGCACTGTACATGCGTGCCCACACGTGGTATTAATTTATTTAAATTAATTTGATTTTCAGAATATAGAAGTTCATAAAAAGTTCATTGGGTATTAAAAAAGGAAAGTAAAATAAGTCAGTGATTGTGGTTGCTATTATGACTTGAGCGTGGGGTAGAGGAAAGACAGCTCAGATGCAGACAGAAGCCCTCAAGCCAAGATCCAGCCATGCAGCTCCAGCCTGGGGGGCTGTCACCTCATGGAGCATAGGGCCAGACCACAAGGCCCAGCTGTCCCAAAGGGTCCCACAGACCTTGGCACCCAAGTCCCTCCTGGCCCTCTACGCCCCCAAGTCACCACCAACCTCTTTCTTATGGAAAGCTTGATTCAGATATTCTTGGAATGTCCCTATGGCCAACTCTTAATTGCAAGGGGTGGGAGCTCCAAACTAGTGTTCTCTCTGCAAAGGAGCCCAGCCTCCGCCGCTCCAGGAAAGACAGGGAAACCACTGGCCTCTGGCAAACTCCCTCCTTACCAGACCCTCCTGAAAGCTTGTTCCACCCACTCCATTTCCCCCCCTTCTGACCCTTCACATAGCTCCTTCCCCAGAGTGGGGACGGAAGGAGAAACCCATGTAGAGAAATGTATACAAACACATCCATTTGCTGCCTCCCAGCAGCTGGGAGAACAGGATCCCTTGCTAAAATGAGAGATGAAGAGCTGTACTGGGCTTTACTCACTTCCACAAGACAAGGTAGAGACAACTGGTTAAAACGTGGATCGACAGACATTTTAGGTTACCATCTTTAGGTCTCATTCTTAACCCCAAGAACACCAGTGATGAAGAGATGGGCAGTCTTCCCATCTAAGGGTTGGGAGGAAAGGGGGAAAGAAAAGGAGTGGGAATATCAAAAGGGCCTCCATCCAGCACCACTCCCACCTGTCCCCCTCTGCAAAGTTCAACGCAACAGTAGCGTGCAAAGAAAAAAAAAATGCCAACCTGAGAATTCACCCGGAGCAGTGATGAGGGAGTTGGTGGCCTCCGTTTCAGTGTAAGACAATGTGGAATCAGATAGATCTACGGGAGGAAAGAGAAAGAAAACTTAGTTGGCTGTGGGGTGTGCCTCCCGTTCCGGCTTTCTCGTGCATCTGTGTGCACGTGTGTGCACGCAAGTGCTTGCAAAGGGCAGGGTGTCCCTCCCAACTGATGCCACTCTGTAACCCTGTCCCATACTTGTACGAGACCAGGCCAGCCAGCCCTGGAATTCTTCTGGAAAATGCCAACTACTGCAGCCCTGGCACCTGAAAAAGTTGCAATTGCTCTGACCACAGAAATAACCCAAGTTCAGGGGACTGAGCAAGTAGCAACTTGGAGCCTCCCTGGGTACGGTTAAATTAAGCCCCTAAACAATTCATAGTTGCTATACTTAATTACAACCATTAAAATTCTTGAAGTTGTTCCTTCTTCCTTCCTTCCTTCCTTCCTTCCTTCCTCCCGAGTCCTTTACCCCTCTTTTTCTGTGAAGATTGGCTTTCTCTGATTCTCTGTTTATATGGCTGCCCCAAGATCCTCAGTTTATTTTTAGCCAGACTCCAATTTCCGGGAGAGACAGTGTAATTATTTTAGCTTAGGACATGTTCCACCTTATCCAATCAGCTTTGCCCAAGGAGGGGTTGGAACCATAAGATACAACCCAGGTCTATGCCTGTGGACTGAAAATACACAGATCTCAGAGTCTAAGAAGGGTGTTGGTCTACAAAGTCCAGAAAGCCCAGGTTGCCATTACACTGATTAATTTATTTAAATTAATTTGATTTTCAGAATATAGAAGTTCATAAAAAGTTCATTGGGTATTAAAAAAGGAAAGTAAAATAAGTCAGTGATTGCAAAACCAGAAACAGTCACACTATCATTGAAAAAAGACTTTTTAAAAATTGTCTTCATTTAAAAAATAATTAAACTTATATAGATGTTTAGTTAAATACATTGATCACAGCATGCTATTTACTTTAAAAGGCGGCAGTTATTCACATACTGTCTGTGGAGTCAACAATTGAGGAAGTTGGAGGGTAAAGAAAATAAACATTAAAGTATTAAAAATGTATTACAAATTTATGTTGTGGTAAATTTTTTCCCATGGTTCCAATGAAAGTACTTTATTTGAAGAGGTTTTTACTTATATATATTAAAATTCAAAATTATCAAATAGGGAAGGGAAGTTAGTGAATTAACATTTATTGTGACTCTGCTTAGTTAAGCACTTAAGTTTATGTTATTCCATTCAATGCTTACAACCACCCTGAGAAGTAAGCATTATTATCCCACTGCCAATGAAGAAATTACAACCCAGGGGAAACAAGTAGCAATGTGGCCAGGCTCAAGTTTTAAGCTCAGGTCTGTTTGACTAGTACAGGGGTGGGCAAACTTTTTGACTCGAGGGCCACAATGGGTTCTTAAACTGGACCGGAGGGCCAGAACAAAAGCATGGATGGAGTGTTTGTGTGAACTAATATAAATTCAAAGTAAACATCATTACATAAAAGGGTACGGTCTTTTTCTTTTTTTAGTCTTATTCATTACAAGTGGCCGGATCCGGCCCGCGGGCCATAGTTTGCCCACGGCTGGAAGTCTCTTCTCTCCACTCTAGTGTTCAGGTATATGAAAAGTTTATTTAAAAAACATTTCTAGAAGAAGCTATGGTTGGATTATACAGTAGCTACGCAGCTTCTTGTCTGCCTAAACAAGACTCAGTCTTAGTGTCAAACAGGCAGTCACCATTTCTCCAATATCTGGAGTGAAGAGAGAGTCAAATCAGCTATCTAATGTTAGTCACTCAAGCACCTAATTTTTCAGAGGACATTAAATTGTTAAATCAATATTTAAAAATAGCAGTACATTTTTTAGTATGGAAGAAAATGTCTTTTATCCTTATATTTTAAAGCTTAATGCATGCTATATTGGGAATTGTGGGGAGGGAGCTGACCTTTTTTCTGGTCAATCTAAATAAGCAGGAAGAGAAAAGCAAAGACTGACTAAGCATTATAAGACAGTACTTTAAGCTTTATATTTTTAATGTGAAAAATCAGAAAAGATATATGTGTCAGAAATTTTTGTTGAAGACAAATATTTATAACAAATGCTTTATGTTTTAGTTAGGTAAAACAAATTTAAATTGTTATTGATGATGTTGGTTTAATAAAGGCAAAGCTATCCTTCAGATATTCATGATTTTTAAAATATATATATTTTTATTGATTTCAGAGAGGAAGGGAGAGGGAGAGAGAGTTAGAAACATCAGTATTTAGAGAGAATCATTGATCAGCTGCCTCCTGCACGACTCACACTGGGGATTGAGCCCGCAACCCAAACATATGCCCCGACCGGGAATCGAGCTATGACCTCCTGGTTCATAGGTCGACACTCAGCCACTGAGCCACTCTGGCCGGGCTGGATATTCCTGATTTTTACCTGTAAGTTATTAATAGTTTACCATCTAATGTATCAGCCTAAATGGGTTTGCCAAATAAAATTAAAATGAATAACCATTTGGTTTACTGTTAACTCCAGACTTAGTCTGAAAAAATTTAAATCCATGGCTAGGGTGTAATTCCTAACATAACAGAAGTTTGTTTTTGGATGATAAATAATATTTATTACAGTTCTAGCAAAATATAAAAATGTGCTTTGTAGATAATCTGATCAAATGTGATCTCTTGGCTTATCACATAAGGTTAATTTGATATAAATTAAATCTAGTTTTATACTTTATTAAGAATTTTCAATGACCTTTTAAAAACAAAGGGACAGGGGATATAGATGAGTTTGATATTCCAGATTTTATATTACTGCTATTTGTCAGGACATGAAAGGAGGAATAAAAATCATTCCTTTAGAAGAATCTTTTTTTAGTTATGGGACATACTAACACAGCATGACATGATTTAAGTATCAAACATCAGAGTCTTAAAGAAATTACTTTCAGTATTGGTTCTAAAAGTACGTAATTAAAATAAACTGACAAATAAAACAGGGCCAGAGTTATGGATACATGGAACAAGCTGACAGATCTCAGACGGGAGATGGGTGGGGGGCACTGTAAGAAAGTAGCCAAAGAACATATCTGCGTATCTGCATAGCTCTTGGATACAGAAGGCGGGGGCTAAATGGAAGGGGGCAAAGAGGGGAAAATGGGGGACATCTGTAATAGTGTCAACAATAAAAAGAAAAGAAAAAAAAACTAGATAAAAAAAAAGAAAAAGAAAGAAAGAAAAAGTAACCCTGAGTTACTGGCTCAGATGTTAGCCCAGGCTTAGGGAAAATGAAACCCACTTAGAATTTATGGGTTGAACCAATAGTTCCAGTCTCTGTCTCTAATGTGTTTCTTAGTCATATGTCTAGAGCGGAGATGAGAGCTTTTTATGACGGAATTTTCTTCTGAAGTTAAACCCTTGGTATTTTGGCCTCTTGACCTTTTATTCTTTCTGACGTCTTGACCCCCTTTTTCTTAGTCCTCTGAAGTTCAGCACATATACAAGCCAGTTGAGGTGCAACTAACCTTTATCCTAATGGTGAGCATGTTATGTGGGCCATAGTTTTATATCAATAATTGATCTATTGATCAAATTCAACTTTTTACCACTCTTTCACGATTGTAATTCTAACTAGTCTCCCATCACATCTTTTATGTTAGACTCCTTAATCAACCTTGATGTCATGGCTGCTGATGGATTAGGTCTAAGAGCATTACTAGGAGTTAGTATTGCATATTCACACTTAATAATTATTTGTTGGGTTTCTTGTAAACCGCTTCACCACTCTTTCTTTAACTTCTTTGCTTTCAATTTTTGGGCTAGTGTTTCTTAGTTTTGTGTGCTGAGCTATCAGATACCAATAATAAAGGATATTTTTATTTTCCTCTTGACCAGACTTAGGGCTAGTTTCAGAGTTCTCTTGGCTCAGGTCTCTGCAAGTCACTGTATGTGACTACCAAACCTTTCAGACTCTGTCCTCCTTTTAAATGGATATTTTGTAACACTTTATTTATTTAACCATAAATAAAGTTGGTAAATAATATGAATTAACTATATATAGAATAAAAATACATTGCCATGATTATAATATAAATTATAAATGAATATAATTTATAGTATAACAGCATATATTTCAGGATATAACTGTGAGAGCACAGTTGTGCTAGAAGATTCAATGAAGTCATTGATGCTTGTACCACATTCTAAAGAGTAAGTTTGGGTTTATGAGAAGTATGAAGATAATTCTGTATAAGAAGACCAGGAAAATGAAAAATCACTGATGCACATGGGTAATAAAATAAAAATGTTAGAATAAATAATAACTGACTAGAATTATTTGTATATGATAAGATAAAGAAGAAATACTTGAAGTGGAGAAAACTTGTCAGGACAAATGATGACTGTCAAAATGGAGAGACAAAATGAGAAAGTATGATATTATTACAAATGACCTGGGCAATATTTATAGGTCTAGTAACAAAACAATTCCTTATGCATAGATATAGGACAGGGTACTGACAGGGTGTCACTGAAACTATCTCATGTATTTTGAAATTCTACCATCTGTTGAGGCTTATTTTAGGTTCTTGGTACTTCAAAAGACCTCGAAGATCATCTCTCTCTCTAGATTATGAGAAATGGAGAGGATGGTTTAAAAAGAGAAACATAAAAGAAGAACCTGTGCAGAAGTTGAGCAATAAATGTCTCTACACAGAGAAAACTGAAAAACAACAGGCAACCCCCAAATACTTTCAATATGGTTTTTCATGACAGGGGTTTTTCTAGTGTTATACATTTTAATTTTTTGAATATATTTTATTGATTTTTTACAGGAAGGAAGGAAGAGGGATAGAGAGTTAGAAACATCAATGAGAGTGAAACATTGATCAGCTGCCTCTTGCACACCCCCTACTGGGGATGTGCCCGCAACCAAGGTACATGCTCTTGACTGGAATCGAACCTGGGGCCTTTCAGTTCACAGGCTGATGTTCTATCCACTGAGCAAAACTGGTTAGGGCTAGTGTTATAAATTTTTAAAAATACATATACAATGACAATAATCTGAAGTATTAAAAGTAACTTGTATTGAGATCCTTGTGGTTTATGTGCCTACTAATTTAATAATATTTTGTTTAAAATTCATCGAAAGGAGATTCATATCCTTTATGACATTTTTGCAGAGATTTCATTGCCTTTGCAGTAATGAATGCCACTATTGCACTAAAACTATTTTCAGCAAGTAGGTAGCCGAAAATGCTCAAATATATGGAGCATGGAGTGAGTAATTCATTTAATTTTGAGACTGTGATTTAAGCTTAGATCCCCAGGCTTTGCCATACAT